AAAAGATCAGCTGCAATCTCAGCACGCTCCAGTGAGTCTTTCCTTGCAATAGATGTATCCTCACGATGATCTTCTTTAACTGTTTTACTATGACCCCACACAAATCCAAGTATCCGTTGTCGAGAGCTAGTCTTCATCAGGATCTTCCCATTATCCTTACTCGTTTCAATCCCATCGAACGAACTCCTAGCATCATAATTGCAACTTTGTGAACTGAGGATCCTCCCACCATTCAGTTCATGCAGCAATTTCCCCTCAGGATAAGGTCCAGATTCTCCTTCAACATCAACTTCCCTCAAAAAATAAGCTTCTCCATTATGATCCAAACACATCGCAAAATTAGCTTCAACCCCATTTACAATTATATTGACCAGCTTCTCCTTTGCCTTCAAAACACCTTGAAATTTCCCAAACCGTACATACCAAGGCGATGATTTAAAACTACCATCCTGCTGTTCAACTACAACAATGTCCACAGCTCCGCCAAACGGATGAAATGGCGCAGCAACGGTATAAACGCCCTTCGAAATGTAGCTACCTAGTATCCCCACAGCGTTCATCGTCCAAAAACTGTGATTCCTCAGTTCACCCTAATCAAAACTTCAAAATCTTTGGCCATCACACAACAACCTGTACAAGCTCCCCCATAAAATTTTACGTACAATGTTTTAGCTCAATGATCCCCAATCATATATCTCCAGAACTCCTAGAAATAAAGAGAAAAGCAAGCTATACACACAACTAACCCAGATCACAAAATTTCAAGACTACGATCTCATGAACAAGCGGAATCAATCAGCTCAACCAATCAATTAATCAATTATTAAACGAAACCCAGATAGATAAACCACCGACCTAATCAATGTTGAAGCAGTGAACCAATTCAATGCAAAGAAAGACGCTAACAACAATACGGATTTTGAGTAATCAACGACCTGAAGACTCCATTGATCAGAGAGCGATCACGCCATAATTGGAAGCCTGATTTGATATGCAAACGAAACTCGTGTAAGAAAGAACCGCGAAGAACATAAACCGTTGGCATAATCAAAGCATATTCGCTTTTATTCGATGGAATGTTCCTCGGGCACTTATCTGATTCTGATTTTGCAGAACAAGAACAGCACGTGATACGCGAAACGTCGAAAACTTTTCTTTGCAGAACCAGAACGAAAGGATCGAAAGTTGAGAAGTCCGATAAAAGAATAAAAATGGATAAAATTAATATTTTTTTACAAAAATCATTAATAATCTTTTAAATAAATTATTCCAGGCTTAATTAATAAAAAATAAAAATATTTTTACTGTTAGACTGAACCCCTCTCTCGATAATGATACAATATTGTTCATATCCACTTTAAATAGGATAGAATGTCTCGTATCAATGGAGATAGTATTATTTAATTATAAATTCATTATCATTTTTACCAATAATTTGAATAAAAAATGTTAATATTTTGTAGACTCTCTTTGTAAATATATTTTTTAACTTTTTTTAAAAAAATTAAAATTTAAGGAAAAATTTAAGGGCATTTTTGTAATAATATTAAAAACCCGTTTCCATCAAAGACTGTATTTTTGAAAAAGAAAAAAATTAATCGAAGGGTATTATTGAGTTACCTGAAGGGTACGTGAATGAACCGAATGTCATATTCGAATGAGAGCTATCATGAGGATAGAATAGGTATGAAAAATTTAAAAGAATGGAAAGGATGTCACACACGAAAAGTACTATGAGAGTTTATATGATCGGATTACGGGATCAACTTGGACTACCTAACCCAAACCATAAAAGTTGATTTGGGTTCAATTTTATTTACTATTTTGGGTTGAGTTGAATTTTTAGAAAATAAAAAAATTTAGCTTAATTTAAGAGTTGACAATTTTTGGTCGGGTCAACTCAACCTATCCGAAAATAGTACAATTCTGAACACTATTTTTAAGAAAATTAAATATATTTAAAGTTTTTAAATAATAAAAAAAAATTGAAAGTATAATTTTTTTAAATAATTAAAAAATAAAATAAAAAGGTTGTGATAGGTTAAGAAGTTTATTCGAATTAGTCTGATCACCAAGTGGAACAACCTAAAATTGTAACCAGGTCAAAGAAAATAAACTAAATCCAACACAAACGATTGTAAACCAGAGTAGATCCATTCATGGGTTATTGAGATGCTGCAAAGTCAGATTGCTCCAATCGGCCAGTTAAGCGGTGTACGGCACTAATTCGACTCACTGTACTAGGAATTTGTTGGGAGCAATCGCTGCGAATGGCCATGGCTTCCTGTTGCTTATCTAGGCGACAAGCAGTAAAAAGGTCATGATCCCAATTCCCACAAAGAAGTTTGGAACAATAAAGTTATGGGTAGAGTGAATCTGAAGTCGAGGTAACCATAATTTTAATGGCCACATTGCACTTGTAGTCAGTGGATCCACTTATCCTTGTTTGGTTTTGATTGTTAATTGATTTCGAGATTGTTTCTGTTGTTCAAAATTTGATGATCTGTTTTAATCTTTCTTTCATACTGTCTTCTGTTCATTGGATTCTGTTAAACCATTTTAGATAATTGATTCTTCTAAATGTGTTTAGGAAAAAGGAAAATTGTGGTGAGGAATCTAAGTTTTGATTCATTTGGAAGAAGTTGATTTGAAGAAAAGTTATAGAATCCAGCGCTGCTTTCGATGGGTTATGCATGCTAAGTGTTTGATAAAAGTCCTCTTAGAGCTTTGTGTTGATTTTTTGCATTATATCAATTGATTAGCCATGCTATGAGATAAATGTGGTCATCCAGAAGCTTAAATTCTGAGAATATATAACATTATCTGTTTGAACCCCACAAGCCATCACTTTTTTTCTCTGGGGGCTGTCTTTGATGGATGGCAGGGCAAGGATCGGGTAGTGGTCTCTTTCATTGATCCTAGAAAAATGGCATTCATTCACATATCTGGCAATGAAATTCAATGTCCATATTGGATTTTCTTATTAAAGACTGCACGGGCGCCTCGGTCACACATGCACATATACACGCGGTGTACTAATAAATGCGTTGTAGGCTTAGGGGGATTGTTGAAAAGACTGAAAGCAGTTCTTATTGAAACAGGTAGCTTTCCTGTCAGTCGCCCACACCTTTACCATATAAATTATTCATTCTGATATTTTCCAATTTAAATAATCATATCAACTGTTGTTGAAGCCATTAGTGCTCTTTTTGAATTATTGTTCTTATTATTATAGTGTTGGTAATTGGGGTTGTCAATATTATATATGAATGTCGAAAGCATTATCTCACTTGACCCCACACCTTTTTTGACCCCATTAGCCCTCTCCTTTCAGAGATTTCACTTGTTTTGGTACGGGGACCCTGCCCCCTGGTGTCTGAAGCAATATTTTCAGGCAACTTTTCCTTTCTCAACATCATTATGCTTGGGAAATTGTATAGCTAATAAGCTAATCTCTATGGAAAAAAATTCACTGTCTCTTTTATGGTTTAGATTCTTTTTTATAAAGAAAGCAACGAATGGGTTTGGTAGAGAAACTGATATTTGTTCAGTAGGTTTGAGACCGTTATTGAATCTGCTCAATGTTAGGAATCATGACGTTCTACAATTATATGATATTGTCCACTTTGAGCCTAAACTCTCATAGCTTTACTTTTGGTTTCCCTAAAATACCTCATACCAATAAAGGTGGTGTTCCTTACTTATAAACTCATGATCTTCCTTTTAATTAGCCAAGATGGGACTTAATAATCCTCAACAATTCTCCCATCGAACAAAATACACTGTATAGCCTCCTCTGAGGCCTATGAAGCCTTCAAACAGTCTCCTCTTAATTGAGACTTGACTTCTTTCCCTGGATCCCTTGAACAAAATACACCATTTATTCGACACTTAAGTCACTTTTGACTAGGCTCACAACTTTTTTGTTCGACATTTGAGGATACTATTGACATGACTAAGTAAAGGGAGCATGGTTTTGATACCATGTTAAGAATCACGACTCTCCAGAATTGTATCATATTGTCCACTTTGAGGATAAACTCTCATGTTTTCCTTTTTGTTTCCCCAAAAGGCCTCATACCAATGAAAATATTGTTCCTTACTTATAAACCCATGATCTTCCTCTTAATTAGCTAATTAATTAGCTAATGTGGGACTACTCCTTAATAATCCTCCACACTCAATTCTTTTCAACACTTTTGAACTTGTACCTGGTCCCAAAACTTTTTGTGGTTTTTGTCGGGCTTACAAATGATTCAAAAAACAAAGTTTTTTGTGGTTTTGTCTGGCTTATAAATGATTCAAAAAGACGAAAAGGAGAGATCAGCGCTGGCAGAAGAGGGGTATTTGCCTGTCCAAACTTGGATGGCTGCTCGATTTAGCCTGTGCTCATGGCCACTCGATTGTATGAGAGATCACAAGGTCGCTGATAGATTGGTTCACATTTTCCTTTCTTTTGAAGGTTATTAGATCAATCACCTTTTCTTGTGTCGTTTTCTGTATCCTTATCTGCTTAGTGCCATGCCCCAGTTGTAAAACCAAAATGTTAACCATGAACTCTCTTCAAATCAGAGATTCTTTTTTCACATCACTATAGGTTTCAGTAACCACTGTAATACAAACGTACATCTAAACTTAATACACTTTTGACCAATCTTCTTTTATTATACCTATGAGGGTTCAGACTAATTTTGTGCACGTCTCAGCTAATCCTCTCAGCTAATCCTCTCAGCTAATCCCACAGGACAACTGCTTGACCTACCATATTTAGTTGTCAAAATAAGAAAGCATAAAATATAAACAACTCAAAAAACTGAACATCCTGTCAAATAAATCACCTCTTTAAGTTACATGATCAAAAAACATTGGAATATGAACATTATATTCTGGACTGATTTGATATCTCTGTCTATATACACGTACATACCACATTAATGCAGAAAAGTATGACGAATAACTTCTAAGAAACAGAATATGAACAATATCTATCCTTTGTATATGCCCTTAACATTTAACTCTCTTCCTTCAATATTGAGGTCTTGCAATGAGAAATTGCTGCTTGAATTGCTGTCTGCAACTCCTCCATTGTGCTATCATTATTGGAAGGAGGAAGTGTTGTATTTGTTGGAGGTGTTTTCTTGGAAACTGGAGCTGTGAGCTCACCTCTTTTCCCTCCCTGTTCTGGCTTGTTTCTAAGACTAAAATTACCTGAAAATGAATAAGACTGTCCGTGGAGTTGTTGCATATCATCTCTTCTCCCTCTAAGGTGTAAAAATGGCCTCACCATTTTCGTATATCTCTTCAATAAATGGCTGAAATTGAATCCGAACTTCTTTTTGAGCTGCTTCTCTTTAGATTCTTCCTCTTCAACTTCATACCCCTTTCTCCACCTTAAACCAAGCAAAGAGAAAGATCTTGACTTGTGTTTTTCTCTTGTATCTCTGTTGCTGTTTTGATAATGTTCATCGCTCTTACAATTGGTGAAGTTGCTTATCTCTTTGTTAGGCTCCTCGTCACTTGGCAGGTCTCCAATGGGAAGAGCAGAGCTTTCAATGGAGTTTATTGAGCAGTGGGGAGGGGCTCTCGAATGAGAGAGGAAATGGAGAGGAAGCAAATGGCCATGGAAGAAGATGTCATCTGCTGGAGACAAATCAATGTTGAAGGAAGATGGGGTTTTGGTTTTGTCTGTTTGGAGTGAAACTGAGAAGGAAAATTCATGAGAAGGCGATGAAGATGCTGAAGAAGGAGATGAGGAAGCTGGACTTTGTTCTTCAAGGTACTTCTCTTTGATCTTCTGATGCCTGTGGATGTCCATAACTCTTAAATTCAGAGAGGTTTTTCTTGACAGACCAATTCCTGAACCTGAAGAACAAACCCAATTCAAAACTTTAGTTTTAAGGACATTACCAAATCATTAGGAATTGATGAGAAGATTAGAGGGTTTGAAAGAGAATTGGGGATGTCTGCCCTTTTTGCCTTCTTTGCACCTTCTTAAATTAAGCTTTTGGAGGGGGAAAATGGCCAAAAACTACTGTCACAGACTGTCCTATCTTACAGCAAAAACTTGACCAAATTCAAATTAAAAATTTGTAAAACTCCTAATAATAGATACAAATTTAAAGCAATTTTATATTTTATCTCTATTACCTTCCAACGATGTAGAACTGTTATACCATTGACTTCTCCCATATTTCTCTCCAGGAGGAGTGAGAAAGAGAGATGAAGAGAGAGAGAGACTAGCCTTACAGATATTGAGAATACAAATTTGGCAAAGAAAGGCAATATCCTTTTGCACAATGGGAGTACTTCTTCGTCATTGTTATATTCATGGATTTTTTTTTTTTAACGGGTTTAACTCAATTCGTTAAGATATATATGATTTATATAAGTGTTAGATATTTAAAGTATTTTCCACATTTTTTTAATCGAAAGAATGGATATTGATGAACAAACTCGGTATATATATGGGTGTAGGATTCTTCAAAAAAAAAGTGCAGATTGACTCGGAGACTTGGGACCTTGGCTTAGCAACGAATGAAGGGGAGCTCAAAGAGATTTCTCCCAAAGTGGCTTATGTAGTGGTTGAACTGCAGAAAGCTCGCTAGGTTTCACTTCCCTCCCTTTCCTTTTTCAATGAAGTGAAAAGTTTAAACTTAGTAGTCAGGCATTCTACAAGTGCATTGTCTAATCTACGAAAGATTCCTTTGAATTAAGTTAATTGTCACCCTCACAACTAACATAAAAATAATTAAATTTGTATATTCTTTTGATTTGGTTGATTAATAGACACAAAGGTTGTTGGCATAATCATAATTAATATTTTTGAACATAGTGGTTGCCACATGGCATAATACCCAAAATATTGAGTTTGGTAACTTAAGAAAGTAATGGAAATTAATCATATTTTATTATTATTATTATTATTATTATTATTATTATTATTTATTGTCTGAACATTATGTTCCCATGGTTGCAAAATATCTATAATACAGACATTTTTATTTCTTTTCTTCAAAAAGTTGAAATAACACCAATAAATTGACCTGAAATGAAATGCCCTTTTTTAAAAAAAGAAAATTAACGAGAAATTGTATGATTTATCGTTTTAAAAAATTATAAACGTTATTTTTCCTCCGAGCCTCATTAAATATTTCAAAATATTTCAAAAACATTTTTTTGAAATAGGAAGGGTTTAGAATGAATGATGAGAATCGACCTAAGGACATCAGATCGAGGAATCCTTGATTCTAATTTCCAGTATGAGTACTGCGTACAAGACAAGAATGGGGATCACGGATCACCACCTCGTATAGATCACTCGTGCTATACTCTCTCGGTGTGGCGGACAGAGGGCTCCGACCTTTATCAAACCAAAAGAACAATCTAATGATTGACAGCTTGCATCAGTGTTTGAATATTGGTTTTCTTTTATTGTAATTTTGTGGTTCATATTAATTAATCTGAATATTATATCATATGCATTATTCATAATTAATATGAAAGTTAAAATTTAAGTTATAAAATTTTGTCTCAGGTGGTATAATAAATTTTTCGATAATTTTCATTTTTTTTTTTTTTTTTTGGCTTGATATATTAGAAATTTAAATTTATAAAATAAAATTTTAAATCTAATTAAACCTTAATTTACTAATAAGCACATTAATTTATTTTAAAAAAAATATCTAATAGATTAATAACCTATTCATTACAAAATCAAGTTTTTATATGCATATCACATTTTCACTTTTAAAAGTTTTCAACATGTCTAATCTATCTGCCTTCGATGTAAAATTAAAACTTCAAGAATCTATTTCGCTCTTAAAAATCATAAATCTCTAGTAAGATATTGTCTACTTTGAGCATAAGCTTTTACTTGAGCTTCCTAAAAGGCATGCCAATAAAAACTTTTAATAATAAACCTATGATCATTTCTTAAATTAGTCTAACTTGGGACTTACTCACAATAATCCTAAACAAATTTCCTAGCCGTGTAAAATCAGTCAAATAATATAGCCTAAACTAAACTAAAGGTGAGAGAGAGAGAACAAGAGAAAGAGGGGTACCACTACAGCAGACAAGCACTTTAACATACATAGTGTTTGCATTTACTTCATAGAGACAGATTGTACAAGAGAAAGGTTGCCGTTGTGCTCCAAAACCAAGATGACAAAAAAAAGTAGCTGCCATTATGTGCACGTTCCACCCGGCAACATCTTGCCTGTAATGAATAATGGCACTTAATAATTTAGAATAACCAGCAGGAGATTGTGGTTTTAAACATGAGTAAAAAGAACAGGAACCAACCCAAATAATCAGATGGAGGCTTGCTCTTCTCCTAGGTTCAGAAAGTTCAAGCAAATTGCAGCAATACAAAGGGAGATGAGGAATCTAGTTTTTGATTGGGAACTCAAATGGGTATCCTGTATTAACAAGGGATTTTGTTTAGAGATTACCTGAGTTGGGATGAAAATATCAGTCAGTCATGTTAGACTCACTATCTTTTCTGGAACTATTCGCTCTAAAGATGTACACCTGAAAAAGAAGTAATAGGAAAAATCTATGAATTTGTAGGGGAAAAATGAAACTTGGTTTTGTAATCGCCCAAATCCATCGCTACCGGATATTGTCTGTTTTTGGCTTTTACGTTTGAACTTCACCTCAACGTTTTTAAAACGTGTCTGTTAGAAAAAGGTTTCCACACCCAGAATGTTTCGTTCTCTTGTTTAACCAAGGATGGTAAGATCTCACATCGGTTATAGAAAGAACGAAACATTCCTTATAAGGGCGTGGAAACCTCTCACATACGCGTTTTAAAATTTTGCGAAGAAGCCCATAAGGGAAAGGCTAAAGTGGACAATATATGCTAATGATGGCTTGAGCTTATAGAATCAAACGAGTGATTACAAATTTTTTTGATCAGTTGTGATTTGGAATGACGAATTTCCAAAGAATCAAGCAAAACATACTTGGATCGGATGAGTTTTCTTTAAGACTTGGTATGATTTATTTTGCTCCCAAGATGAACCATTTCATTTAAACAGTTTTAAGAAAATACATACTAACTTGAACGGAAAACAATCACCTTGCACGTTGTAGGTTTAATGAATTGAAAAATCACAGCATCCCCATCTGCCAATTTATGAGCAACTGAAAAGCCCTTCCATCCGCCACTAAGTCCTGTTTTTCGTGCTAAATATACTGTTGGATACTCATCTCCATCTTCATCTATTAATGTCACAATTCCATCGCGATTTGGAAGGTGCGTCTTGCAGAAATGAGAAGGAAGGCCCTGCGTTTACAACTACTTTTTAATTAAATATCATATAAAAGTATATCACACATCCAGTTCATCAAGCTTAACAGAAAGGGACAGAAGAAGATCGTATATGCTTAACAAATAGCTTACCAGCCAGAATCCACCACTAACATGAGATGGAAGCATCGACCTTATAAAGTTGGGATAATTTGTCTCTAATCCAGATTGTAATCGCCCAGCTCTTTCAAAGGCATTTTTTCTTGCTTCATCCGAAGAATAAATTCGATTTGAAAGATCTCTAGCATTGGAGATCCTATAATCCCCAAACAATGAACATTGGTAACAATACTACATGATTCAACCATACGGAAAGTCATTTATCCTAATTGTTTTTTAATTCATTTCTAGCATATAGATACCTTCTAGGAATCACCACACGATTTACAACAACCTGTCAAAAAAGAAAAGGAAACAGAACCAATGAAGAAGAGGTTTCTTCGAGGACTAAAATCTCTCTCCAATGCAAGCAGCAGTGAACTTTTAGTTCATCATCCAAATGCAAGAAAAATAAGGCAAGAATGACTTACTTCGGCGTAAACGGGGGCAGATTGTTTCGCTATGCGACTGGATCTCCTCACAACAACGAGTTGTTTCTGCGTCACGCGAGGCTTGGCGAGCTTACTCTGTGAAATCGGTAAAGTAGCAAAATAAGCTCAATACAATAATCCATTGATAAAGTCATCGTAAGTAATAGCAGGTATTGAAATATGAAATGGAATTACAGGCGATGATTTGGAAGGGGAAGAATGGAGGAGAGCTTGAGAAAGCAAAGGCAAATTTAGGGCTTCCATCCGCTTCTTGTTTTCTTGGACTCTCTTATGGCGACATTCTTCGTATGAGAGATTAGCGATCCCCATGGTCTCTTCTTCTTCTTCTTCTTCTTCGCTTCTTAGGGTTTGGTTTCTGCGTGAAATGGAAACAGGGAGAAATTTATTCAAACGAGTCGACCGTTAACTTCCCACTATTATATTATGAATTAATTAATTAATTTTTTTTTTTTTTGTTAAAATATCATTTTAGTTTGTCTATATTTTGTTTTATTTCATTTTTTTAGCGAATATTTGAATATTTAACATTTTATTTGAGATATACGTTTTAAATTATAATTTGAAAAATAGGGTTAAAATTTTTAATTTAAACTAAATTAATAGAAAAAAATTACTATATTTTAATTTTTTAAATTTTTTTAATAATATACTAGTATGCTAAATATTATTTTATTTCAAAAATATCTTTTAAATTTATAAAATATTAACTCTTAAAATTTTTATTAATATTCTTAAATTTTTTTAAAAAATTTAAAATAAATTTCATTAATACCTTTAAAAAAATTTAAAAAAAATTTCTAACCTACAAAAATTTTATTAATACTCTAAAATCTTTTTTAAAAGTTAAAAAAATACTTTTTAATTTTCAAAAGTTTCACTAATATCCTTAAAAAAAATTTAAATATATATAATAATCTTAACCTTTATAAAAAAAAAAATAAAATAAAAATGTTGTAAGGATAAAAAAAAATTAAAATATTCTTACAAACTCTTAATCATATTCCTCTTATATTATCTTCTTTCATTACTCAATCAATAAAGCTTTATTAATTTCTTTTTTTTTTCTAATATCAAAATTTTAAATAAAAAAAGGGTTTTTTTTTTCATTAACTTGGAAAGAGCGACTTTGGGAGTGTAGCACTGAGTACATTACCCCACTGATAATCTCTTAATTGTTTTGAAAGGAGAGCCTACAAGACCAATAATTCCTTTCCAAGGGCTGAGACAAGGAACCCACTTCCCCTTCCTTACCTGTGTATAGACCCGTCATGGAAGTAGGGGTGTACATTTAACCCGGCAATCCGATAACTCGGACCAACTCAACTTGAATTAGGTTGGGATGGGTTGGATTAGCATTTCGTGAACCCGAACTAAATCGGTTCAGTTTCGAATTCAGGGGTAAAACCTTCGGGTTGACCCGAAACAAATAGAAATATATAAAATATATTAAGAATACTACTGTATTAATAGTTCAGTTTAAAGACACTCACGTCAAAGGCATGTTTTTGTTTTTATTTTTAATTTCTTATATATATATATATATATATATATATATTTTGTATAGTTTTTTTAATTTCTTTTATATACATATATTTTAAAAATATCTCAATAATTCATACTATTTTTTAAACATTTTAGAAATAAACTAACATAATACATCAATATAAATATTTATTAATTATAATTTTGAAAACATATTCTAAATTATAATATATTTATTATTTATTTGTTGCAACACACCATTTATATATTTTTTTGATTTTTTCTAATGGTTTAAGGTAGGTATAAATAAGCATATTTCAATTAAAATATTTTTATATTTTTTTTATTTTTATTATATACACTACTCTTAAACTAATCATTTTTTTATTGTTTACTTAATTTCATGATCTATCTCCATATTTTTGTTATTTTAACTAATTTTTAAAAAATGTCGGTATTTAATTGTCTTTAGTTTTATGACAATGTTGAACTATGTTACAATTTTCACTAGTTGTTTTTATTATTATTATTTTTTGTCAATAATTATAGATCGATTAATGTTTGTTTGTGAACTTTTAACATATTTTAGATGGTATCCGAATAATTATAAATTGTGGATAAATAAACCTTTAAAAAAAAATTGACAACCCAACCCGAAAATAGAGGGTTGGGTTGGGTTGGGTCGTGAAAAGTTTCGGGTTGGGTTGGGTTACCAATCCAACCAATTCGAACTTTTGGGTTGGGTCGAAAAAATCCTCCAACCCGGACCATGTACACCCCTACATGGAAGGCATGAGTTCAAATGTGTGGATGCAAATATTTTCACACCCTTATAAATAATGTTTGTACTCATCTCAAACCGACGTGGAATATCACAATCTAGCCCTTCAGGGTCCCACAATCTACCCCCTTCAGGGTTCAATGTCCTCGCTGGCACTCGTTCCTCTCTCCAATCTACGTGAGATCTCACAATCCACCCCCTTCGAGGCCCAGTGTCCTCGCTATAGCACACCAGTCGGTGTCCACCTCCTTTTGAGGCTCAACGTCCTCACTGGCACACTGTCCAGTGTCTACCTTTGATACCATTTGTAATAGCTCAAGCCCACCACTAGCACATATTGTTCTTTTTTTTAGACTTTCCCTCAAAGGTTTGAGATTTTTACACCCTTACAAAGAATGTTTCGTTCTCCTCCCCAAACGACGTGGGATCTCACCTAAGCCTTCTTTAGAAAGGAACATAATAAACCCACAACCCCGAGGCTCTCCCGTTCAAAATCTGCAGAAGCTATCAGCTAAACACAGAAGTCTAAGTGAAAACAAGGAGCAAGAGGTTTAATTTAATAAGGAGAATAAGAAATGAAGATATGTTGGGGCCAAGGGGGACTTGATAGACAAACCCTATTCATCAGCAGATACAAGATTGTACAAGACAGAGAGATTGCTTTTTACTCCAAAACCAAGTCTGGCTTCTGCATTATGTGCACTTCCTTCCCATTATCTCCTGAAATGAACAGGAAAATGACCTTAGAGGAGGAGACTGTGATCTTACAAGATATATGAATCGGTCAACCAGTGGAAGATGAAAAGAGTTTCTTAACCAATTAGAAGTATCTTCACAAATATTCATAATATGAACGTTTAAAAATGATATCTTTTCAAAGTGTTTTTGCAAGAAAATTGCTTCACTTAAAATCACCACTCTTAAAAGTCATTAATACTTTCATGTGGGTTCAATGTAAACTGTTAGCAAAGACAGAACCAACAAATCCTAGGGATGCATCTCATTAACATCAACATGAATTCCAGTTATTTGTTGCACCGGCCAAAGAATAGTAGTAATAATAGAAAGAAAAACTTCAAGAAATTCGCAGCAATTTCGAAGTGAAAAAGAAATAAGTTTATTAGTGCTTGGGAACTCAGCATTAAGAATTAGTTCAGTAATTTCGTTTTAAGATTACCTGACTTAGGATAGGTAAGTATCACTTAGCTACTGTTAGAATCGCTATCTTCTTTCGAGTCACCAACTCGAAAGATGTACACCTGAAAGAAGAACAGAAAATAAAAAAAGTAATTGAGGTCTGTTCAGTCAAAGACTATAGATATGTGGACTACACCAAGATGTTCTGTGTTAAGAACAGTTATGCAAGAAACATACATAATCCCTATATATTTGAAAGAGTATGGATTTTAATTTTAAATTTGGTCCTATAATTTCAAGAAAATTAGAATCTTATCCTTATGATTTAAAACTATTTAGCAAACCATAGAAACTACTTATAACATTTTATCAAATTATATGGCTAAAATTCAAACTTTTAAAATTATAAAGACAAGATTTTAACTTTCTTCGAACGGCAGGAACCAAATTTGTAATTTAACCAAAAAATTTCTCCCATCGGTAACGCTCTCCTTTGTCTTGTCAGCCACAGCTAAACCAACAGATTTTCAAAACTAAAAAAAGGTAAATTTTGAAAACAAAAGTAAACAAATAAAGGGTGAGTAAGGTAAACTAGAATGAGAACTGAAGAGACAGTGCACAAAAAAATGCATACACAGAAACCAATATATTGTGCTTGTTTCTGAAAACGTAAACAGACAACACAAACGTTGAAGAACTATGAACAATCACCTTGCAGGTTGTAGGTTTAATGAGTTGAAAAATCACAGCATCCCCATCTGCCAATTTATGAGCAACTGAAAAACCCTTCCATCCTCCACTAAACCCTGTCTTTCGCGCCAAATATATTATTGGATACTCATCGCCACCTTCATCTATTAAAGTCATTACTCCATCATTGGTTGGTAGGTGCTCCTTGCAGAAATGAGAAGGAAGGCCCTGCGTTTACAAGTAATTTTTTCCTATTAAATATTTTATAATGGACCCATGCTACATCCCGTGTTGAGGATTGTAGGGAGAGAAGACCCACATCGGTTAATTAAGGGATTGATCATGAGTTTATAATTAAGGAATAAATCTCCATTGGTATGAGGCATTTTGGGGAAACCAAAAGCAAAGTCACGAAAGATTATGCTCAAAATGAACAATATCATTACTATTGTGGAGAGTCGTGGTTTCTAACCTCTTGCTCAACAAGTTTAACAGACGGAGAGTGAGTAGGGCTAGAAGATCATATGCTCAATAGATAATTCTACCCAGCTTACCAGCCAGAAACAACCGCTAACATGAGACCGAACCATTGACTTTATAAAGTTGGGATAATTTGGCTCCAATACAGATTGTAATCTCTCAGCTCTTTCAAACGCATTTTTTCTTGCTTCATCCGAAGCAAAAAAATGGTCTGGATAATCTCTTGCGCTGGAGAATCTACATAATCCCAAAAAAAAGAAAACGAGTAACAATACTGAACGATTCAACTGTATGGAAAGTCTTTTAATCTTTGTTTCTATTTACTTTTCAGCAGAGATACCTTTTAGGAAAAGCCACGCGATTGACAAGAACCTGCCAGATTAATTGAAAAGAAACGAAACAAAATCACAAACAAAGGGATTTTCAGGACGAGAATTTCCAATCCGTTAAAAAGCAGCAATAAAACCCTATTTCATCATCCAGTTAGGTTTAGCATAACACGGAAGACTTACTTCAGCGTAAACAGGCCCTGGTTGTTTTGTTACGCGACTGGATCTCCTCACTACCACCAGTTGTTTCTTCATCTCACGATGCTTGGCCTGTTTACTCTGGATCGATTAAGCCGCAACATAAGCTCAATATTCCATGGCAAAACACAGAGCAACAGAAGATTGAGAAGGAAAAAGAAAAAACGAAATGAAATTACAGGGGACGATTTGGATTTGGATTTGGAAGGAGAAGAATCGAGGAGAGCTTGAGAAAGCAAGGGCAAATTTAGGGCATCCATTCTCTTCTTGTTTTCTTCGACTCTCTTACGACGACATTCCTCGTATGAGAGATTAGCGACTCCCATGGTCTCCTCTTAGGGTTTGGTCTCTGTGTGAAATGGAAACAAAGAACAGATGAGTAGCAGAAATGACGAGCTTCGGTACGTTTGAGGGAAATTTCGATTTCGTACGGAAAATCGATTCGCAGTCGACCGTTAAAGTTCCCAATATTTTGAAAATGATAAATAATTTTTAACAAACTAATAAAACAAAAATTGTGTGGCCGTCTTAGCTCAGCTGGTAGAGCGCGTGGCTTTTAACCACGTGGTCGTGGGTTCGATTCCCACAGACGGCGTTTTGATAGTAATAATCCATTATTTTTATTAATTCTCAAATAATGGACACGTGGATAGTGTGAGGGTGAAAAATTACCCATAATTAAATCTATGTAACCATCATAGCTCAGCTGGTAGAGTGTGTGACTTTTAACCATGTGGTTGTGTGTTTGTGGACACGTGGACGGTTGAGGGTGAAAATTATTGAGAATTAAATCTTTGTAGCTGTCTTAGCTCAGCTGGTAAAGTGTGTGGTTTTTAACCACGTTGTTGTGGGTTCCTTTCCCACACATGGCATTTTATGTGATAATCTATTGTTTTTATTAATTCTCAAATAATGAACGCTACCTTAGTTGCGGTTCTGTGTGGACACGTGGACTGCGTGAGGGTGAAATATTGACTAGAAAAAAAAAATTGTAGCCGTTTTAGCTTAGATGGTAGAGCGCGTGGTTTTTAATCATGTGGTCGTGGGTTTGATTCCCACCAGCTTATTGTGATAAACCATTGTTTTTATTAATGCTCTTAGATGAGTCCCACCCTATTTGCGGTTCGGTGTGGACACAGTGGACTGTGTGAGGGTGAAATGCAAACGAGAAATGAAAATGTTTTGTCATCTTAGCTCAGTCGGTAGAGCGCATGGCTTTTAACCACGTGGTTAATCGACGCTCTTTTTAATCTACCCCATTTGCGGTTGTTCGGTGTGGACACATGGGCTGTGTGAGCATGAACTGTTAAAGAGAAATGAAAATGATAACTAATTATTAAATATTGTATAAATATAAATATTATTGTTGCAATTTGTAATAAAATTTTATTTGAAAATCTCATTAAATCAATAGTATCAAAATTTAATTCAACTTTGATTAATACTAATGAATAACATTGTTAAAACTCACTTAGTTATATAATTATCTAACTTTGAGGCATAATTTAATAAATTAGAAGTTGATAATTAAAATGAATAAACTTGACAAAAAACGAGGGGGTAAAACCAGTTTTTCCCCCAAAAAAATTAGGAAATTTCCATTAAAATTAAAAGTTAATTAGTGATTAATCCAATATCTGTAAACAATTACAGTACAACACTTATCAACAATTACACACACAAACACAAAATTTGTTTATGCATACAGAAAGAATGCAAAGATGTTATCCCAACTCCATTATTAGTTTTTCAAGTGCTTCAGATGGAAGAGGTATATACAAGCAATCTTGACCATCAGAATGCCTTCTCGTCTTCACCAACTCGTGGTCTTTAAATTCAGTCAAATGGGAGTTCAGTGTTACCTGGCTGCTCACTAGAAACCGCTCTCGACTAATCGCGTACAAGTTATTGATCGGCATACCTGAAATTTTGAAATGATATCATCTGTTGGATAAAAGTCCCACCTCGGTTAATTTAGAGAATAATCATGAGTTTATAATCAAAGAATACTATTTCCATTGGTATGAGTCTTTTGGGGAAAGCACAAAGTAAAACCATGAAAGCTTATGCTCAAAGTGGACAATATCATACTATTGTGAAAGTCGTGTTCATCTAACATGGTATCAGAGGAATGGTATGATATAAGTTGTTGGGAATAGAGATTTGAGTCGAGAATATATATCTTAACAAGTTGAGCTATGCTTAGATTGGCTACTCATATAATAAATAAATGAGGAGTTTACCTTCTTCATCGGGATGAGATAGCTGATGTTCTATAAGAACTTTGAAAACACTTTGTGCATTGGGCGTCAAACTCTGTAAAACTATTGTAGCAGTTTTCGCACTTTGAGCCGTGCCACCATGTGCAAGAATCAAAGGGAAGAACATTCCTTCAACCTTGTAAGAGGCAAATGTTGGAACATGATACCATAACCAGTTAAATTGTGTGTGAACCATCTTCTTGTCCCACACTGAAAAAACCAGAATTCATGATTTAGTGAGATATAGATCAATGAAACAGTGCAATTTGTAATGGTTTATACAACATCTTCTTGTCCTCCATTACTCAAGTCCCGATATCAGCACTAAAACTATTCATCTACTTTTATAGAGTGAATTGACTCGGTTCCTAAAATTATAGACCAGAACATAAATGATCATCATGTTGAAGTATTAATAAGTTCAATTAATAAATTTATAAAGAGAGGTTACATATTTCATGATCCGGGTATCTTTTCATAGGAATGATTTGGATCAAATCATTTGTAATTATTATGAAATAAATCGTATTAATAGTGTTATCGAGATAAGATACTCAACCTTATATCCATAATCCATATATAATATACGACTTTTTTAGGTTCTTTCTCATTCCCATGTAACAAAATTCTACTTCCACAGCTAGCAATACGAAGAATTAAAGGCATTGGTGTGATGTTTGAAACCCATAATTCATATTAAATATTGATGAAAAGAAGAAGCATTATACTTACAAAGTGGTGCATTCACGTGGTCAATGGAGGCAATAATTCGAACATGGGAACAAGCAGCAACTCGGGCAAGATAGTCCTGTGTTTCGGAATCTCTTAACCCAACTCCATCAATGTTGTGTATCACAACGCAAACAAAACAATCCTTGTCTTCCTCATTTGATCCATTCAAAAATGAAAACAGATCGTCCATGGATCGCGAGGTAAATGGCTGATGAACTTTAGATGTGCTACCTGATGCATTTCTAACTCGGGATTTCAACTGATCCGACAGTACTTCAGCTATGGCTACTATAACCTACACAAAAAGAATTGCAAGACTTTAAGAACACATAAAAACGATTTGATATGTGATCATCCATTGGCTAAACTATACCTGTTTAATATTGACTGATTGAAGATAGCCATTGATAACTATAACAGAATAATCCGTCAATGCTGTCGAAGCAAAATCCTCAATCAAGGCCTTCTTCGAACCAAATCCATACATTAGAAGTCCAAAACCGCATCTGCATCACAAACGCGATTTTACTAGAGGAATAGAACGAACAACCTTAAAGGAAATGAAAAGCCTATCAATAGCAAGTTCATCGGATTTTAGTTCGTAAAAATCCTAAGAAATTCCGCAAATTACAACCAAGGAGCTCCTAACGAACAATAGCACAGTTCAACTACCGTGAAAATGGCATACCTAAGCTCAAACTCCCACTTGGAGTACAAACTTTTGTAGCTAGCTATCAGAGCCGCAATTTCTTTCTCATGCTTAGGCTCGATTTTCGCCGCCGCCGCCCTTAATTCCTGACCATTAAGTTCTTACAAATCGTTTTCCTACAAATCAAAGTAATTTCATTTTGAAGAACTTAAACACCGGTACCTGTTCGTCGACGACGTCAATGTCGGCGAGTTTCCGAGAAGATTTCTTTGTCGAGCCGCCCAATTCCTTCGCCAGAAAATAATTCCTGGAAAATGCCAACTCTTCGTCGTCCAAATCATCGATCTCCATGATAACGATGAACAGTTACCCCACGAATGTGAGGAAAAATGGCTGCAATGGAGCGAACCCTAGAGAAAGCTCTGTTTCTTTTCCCGCCATTTTTAGCCTTCAACAATTGGGCCGCACCCGTTTACCTGGCGGCCCAATTACACGAGCCAGGTTAAACCAATTGTAAATTTGAATAAATACGATTATATTTAAATTATTTTACAATTTAATAATATATATTTTTGAATTTACCTATATACCCTTTTCAATAAATCATTTTTAAATAGTTTTAAATTATAAAAGCAACAATATTCTTATCAGCTCACTTTTTTTATTTATCTTTTGCAGTGACATTTTTTTTACCTGACATTTTTTTTTACCCTTTTTGTGTAAGTGCTTTTATATTGCTGTAATTTTCTTTTTTTGACCTTAAATAAAAAAAAAAATTACAGTGTGGACAAAAAGGGTAGTTTCGGTAATAAGCTGAAGGGAAAGGCTGAGTAGATAATCATTTGTAATGAAGTCTAAAAAAAACGAATTATATAATTTAATTAATCTCTGTTTTTAATTTTTATGCCCAAAAAAGAAACTGTGCAGAATCGGTTAACTATTCACAAAAGCGAAGGTTTGATGCTCGGCGCAGGTTTGGCGGATCGTCGGCGACAGACGGCGGACTGAAATTTGTTGATTCCTTACAAACCTTCCGGCGGGCGTTAGCTTCACTGCCGGACTTACCTTCTAATTGTATTGTTGAAATCGCCTGCGGACGGCGATACAGCGCACAATAGCGCGGAAAATCTTGACCGGATTTCGATAATTGTATTGGTTAGTTGTGTTTTATCAGCAAAACAAGTGTAATTGTCAGACCAAACGATTTTGCTCGTTATTGTTTGGCGGAAAAGAAATTTACGGATTTGGTGTGAAGATCCACCGGATCGATCTGCTTGAAATTTTGCTTCCATTTTGTCTTCTGTTTCTGGTGCGAGGTGTTGATATATAGAGAGAGGAGATATAGTGGTGGGATGAAGGTGAAGAAGAACAGATATGGCGAAGGTAGAGTGGGGTTATCAAGGAAGAGGTAAATTGGCGTTTTCTTACAAGAAAACCACTCTCATCATTTGCTCTATCAACATTATCGTTGCTCTCTATGTTCTTCGATCTCTATATGCTTCTCTCTACCTCTATACGGATAATGATTCTCGAAGTGGTTAGTGTTTGAGCTAGTTTCCTTTTCATTTTTTCTGTTGTTGATTCGTGTTGAAGATTATTGAGCAATGTTTAACATTGTATTTATTCCGTCTATTTTCTTTATTCTGAGCTAGTTGTAAAGTACACTCCGGATCAGATTAGGAAAATGGAACAGTTTATTCGGATTCGTCGGGCCTCTAAGCCAGTAGAGCTCATTAAATTTGTAAGACTCCAACATGATTTGAGG